TTCGAATCAATGTATTGGTAAACAGTTGAAGATAATGTGTAGGTACACTGTGACTCCACGTACAGACAGACTGTGGGTTCAAATCCACGTACAGACAAACTGTAGGTTTAATTCCACGTACAAGTAGACTGTGGGTTCAAATCCATGTACAGGTAAACTGTAGGTTCAATTCCACGTACGAGTCGACTGTGGGTTCAAATCCACGTACAGGTAGACTGTGGGTTCAAATCCAGGTCCAGGTAGACTGTGGGTTCAAATCCAGGTCCAGGTAGACTGTGGGTTTAAATCCACGTACAAGCATACTGTGGGTTTATATCCAGGTCCAGGTAGACTGTGGGTTCAAATCCAGGTCCAGGTAGACTGTGGGTTCAAATCCATGTACAGGTAGACTGTTGGTTCAAATCCACGTACAGGTTGACTGTGGGTTCAAATCCAGGTCCAGGTAGACTGTGGGTTCAAATCCATGTACAGGTAGACTGTTGGTTCAAATCCACGTAAAGGTAGACTGTGGGTTCAAATCCACGTACAGGTAGACTGTGGGTTCAAATCCACGTACGAGTCGACTGTGGGTGCAAATCCAGGTCCAGGTAGACTGTGGGTTCAAATCCAGGTCCAGGTAGACTGTGGGTTCAAATCCTCGTACAGGTAAACTGTAGGTTCAATTCCACTTTCAAGTAGACTGTGGGTTTATATCCACGTACAGGTAGACTGTGGGTTCAAATCCAGGTCCAGGTAGACTGTGGGTTCAAATCCACGTACGAGCAAACTGTGGGTTCAAACCCACGTACAGGTAGACTGTGGGTTCAAATCCACGCACAGGCAGATTGTTGGTTCAAATCCACGTACAGGTTAACTGTAGGTTCAAACGCACATACAAGTGGACTGTGGGTTCAAATCCACGCACAGGTAGACTGTGGGTTCAAATCCTCTTACAGGTAAACTGTAGGTTCAAATCCAGGTCCAGGTAGACTGTGGGTTCAAATCCAGGTCCAGGTAGACTGTGGGTTCAAATCCACGTACGAGCAGACTGTGGGTTCAAACCCTCGTACAGGTAGACTGTGGGTTCAAATCCAGGTCCAGGTAGACTGTGGGTTCAAATCCAGGTCCAGGTAGACTGTGGGTTCAATTCCACGTAAAGGTAGACTGTGGGTTTAAATCCACGTACAAGCAGACTGTGGGTTCAAATCCAGGTCCAGGTAGACTGTGGGTTCAAATCCAGGTCCAGGTAGACTGTGGGTTCATATCCACGTACAGATAGACTGTGGGTTCAAATCCACGTACAGGTAGACTGTGGGTTCAAATCCAGGTCCAGGTAGACTGTGGGTTCAAATCCAGGTCCAGGTAGACTGTGGGTTCAAATCCACGTACAGGTAGACTGTGGGTTCAAATCCACGTACAGGTAGACTGTGGGTTCAAATCCAGGTCCAGGTAGACTGGGTCTAGAATGTGTAGGTCCATGTCCATATACGGTAAGGCAATGTAGATCAGTGTCCATCGACGATGAGGCAATATAGGTTTGTGTCCATGTACGATGCAGCAGTGTAGGTCCGTGTCACTGTTCGATGTGGCAGTGTAGGTCCGTGTCACTGTACGGTGAGGCAATGTAGGTCTGTGTCACTGTTCGATGAGGCAATGTAGGTCTGTGTCACTGTTCGATGAGGCAATGTAGTTCCGTGTAACTGTACGATGAGGCAATGTAGGTCCGTGCCACTGTACGATGAGGCAATGTAGGTTTGTGTCACTGTTCGATAAGGCAATGTAGGTCCGTTTCACTGTACGATTAGGCAGTGTAGGTCCGTTTCACTGTACGATGAGGCAATGTAGCTTCGTGTCCATGACCGACGAGGCAATGTAGGTCCTTGTCACTGTACGATCAGGCAATGTAGGTCCATGTCACTGTACAATGAGGCAATGTAGGTCCGTGTCACTGTACAATGAGGCAATGTAGGTCCGTGTCACTCTACGATGAGGCAGTGTAGGTTCGCGTCACTCTACGATGAGGCAGTATAGGTCCGTTTCACTGTACAATGAGGCAATGTAGGTCCTTGTCACTGTTCGATGAGGCAATGTAGATCTGTGTCACTGTTCGATGAGGCATTGTAGGTCCGTGTCACTCTACGATGAGGCAATGCAGGTCTGTGTCACTGTTCGATGAGGCAATGTAGGTCTGTGTCACTGTTCGATGAGGCATTGTAGGTCCGTGTCACTGTACGATGAGGCAATGCAGGTCCGTGTCACTGTACGATGGGGCAATGTAGGTCTGTGTCACTGTTCGATGAGGCAATGTAGGTCCGTGTCACTGTACGATGAGGCAATGCAGGTCCGTGTCGCTGTACGATGAGGCAATGTAGGTCCGTTCACTGTACGATGAGGCAATGCAGGTCCGTGTCGCTGTACGATGAGGCAATGTAGGTCCGTGCCATTGTTCGATGAGGCAATGTAGATCTGTGTCACTGTACGATGAGGCAGTGTAGGTCCGTGTCACTGTACGATGAGGCAATGTAGGTCCGTGCCATTGTTCGATGAAGCAGTGGAGGTCCGTGTCCATGAACAATGAAGAAGTGTAGGTCCGTGTCCATGACCGATGAGGCAGTGTAGGTTCGTGTCACTGAACGGTGAAGCAATGTAGGTTCGTGTCACTGTACGATGAAGCAACGTAGGTTCTTGTCCATGACCGATGAGGCAGTGTAGGTTCGTGTCACTTTACGATGAAGCAATGTAGGTTCTTGTCCATGACCGATGAGGCAGTGTAGGTTCGTGTCACTTTACGATGAAGCAATGTAGGTCCGTGTCCATAACCGATGAGGCAGTGTAGGTTCGTGTCACTGTACGATGAGGCAGTGTAGGTTCGTGTCACTGTACGATGAGGTAGTGTAGGTCCGTGTCCATGACCGATGAGGCAGTGAAGGTTCGTGTCACTGTACGATGAGGCAGGGTAGGTTCGTGTCACTGTACGATGAGGCAGTGTACGTCCGTGTCACTGTTCGATAAGGCAGTGTAGGTCCGCGTCACTGCACGATGAGGCAGTGTGGGATCGTGTCATTGTACGATGAAGCAGTGTAGGTCTGTGTCACTGTTCGATGAGGCATTGTAGGTCCGTGTCACTGTACGATGAGGCAGTGTTGGTTCGCGTCACTGTACGATGAAGCATTGTAGGTCCGTGTCCATAGACGATGAGGTAGTGTAGGTCCGTGTCACTGTACGATCAATTGATTGACTGATTGACTCACACATGGTCCATGTTTGCCTTAACAAGGCCGGTCACTTTAACATTCAATGTTTATTGTGGTAGAATATCGTATCCATAATGTATACGTAAATAGTAGTATTCATTTTTAAATCATGACGCCGTACGTGCAGAATGGTATCAAATGAACGGAACTGAATCAAGTTGCCGTCATTTTGCCCTTTGCGCCCAATGGAATCGGTACCTGCGGATAATCGCGACTGGTTGTTCTGTGGCGTTACCGTTAATTATTCTATGAACAAGAAACACACAGTAAACGATTATGTAGAACCAGGAGCAGTGACCTAAACGACTTGGTTGCCATCCAGGGAGACGGAGAAAATTACAAGTATGAATATACTGAAGGCATTCATCATTTGTATCTCTAGAGGAAGTTTACACGAATATCAGATATGTTGTAATGAACTTCATATTATGATGTTGCTGCTGCTGATGATGATGATGATGATGATGATGATGATGATGATGATTATTATTATTAGGGCAGTAGTATTAGATTAAGCCTTTGTGTAATTCAAATTGTGTGTTTGTCTGTTTGATTGTTGTTTAACGCTTCACTCAGCAATATACCAGCTATATGACGGTGGTCTGTAAATAATCAAGTCTGGACCAGACACTCCAGTGATTAATATCATGAGCATCGATCTACGCAATTCGGATACGATGACATGCATCAACCAAGTCAGCGAGTCTGACCACACGATCCCGTTTAGTCGCCTCTTACGACAAGCATTGTCGCCTCTCTTGAGTATGTGTTGCTGAAAACCTATTCTACCCCGGATCTTGTGTTGCCATTTGTTCTGGGACAGTTGTGATAGTAGGTGTAATGGTTGTTTCCATGACACATGGGAAAATGATGCTTTCTCATTTCCATACGAACCATTACAGTGTAGTGGTGCTCGTAGACCATATAAATATCGGCGTTTTGACCCAAATCAATACAAATAAATTGCATGTGTTACAGGGACGATGCCATCTTTAACAGTCGGGGGCACGGGTGGCCCAGTCGTCTAAGGCGCCGCGATTCGCTGTGCAGAGTTGCGTCCCTTGGCCACGCAAGAAACCTATGATTGTGGGTTCGAATCCCGGTTCGCCCCGATTATGTTTCTAGGTTTGTCAGCACCATACCCGTGCTCGTGGGTTTCACCGAAGTGGTAAACGTCTGAAACCTGCTTCACTTCGGGCTTTCCTCCCACATTAAGCTGACACGCCGCGATATAACTGGAATACTGTCAAAAGCGGCGTTTAAGCCAACTCACTCACTCTTTAACAGTCACGTTAACATGTGCCCTACATCCAAAGGTGAAGTATGTGTCAAAGCGCTGGGACATTCTCAAGCATGTGTGGCGCCCATGGATTACAAATACGCATCTGTGTCTTGCCGTACAAGTAATTATCATCATAATGATAATGATCATCTCAATAGTAACCTTGTTTCTTTCATCGATTCTCACAAATGTGACTTCTATAATAAGCAAGAAAATGTCCTAAAGGTTCGACATCTTTTCTAAGATGAACAATTGACTTTCCTTTGCATGTGTTTGTGACGTGTGCCACCGGTGAGGCAGGACACGCTCAACTTTTCGCGAACACCTGGTATTATAACTATTTGATAGTGATTCATAAACACATGCTTATGATATAATCGGAATGGAACAATGGATGAAATTTCTTATGATCGTGGAAAGGGTTTTGTCGCTCTGCATAAATTAAAGTTGATGTCGATTCAAAATTCAGCACAACAAAATTCATATATATTTCGAGTGAGGTTTATTGGCACATAATCTGTAACTCTTACAAAAATATGAAACATCTGAAGACACGCCATTTGACAGTATTGAAAGGGTTGCGGGAATGTCAAGTACACGGCAAGGTATTACAATTGACACAATTACACCTCGTATGCAAGGGATGTCGGGTAATTACACTCCAAACAGCTAATCAACCACATGTACAGTTCATTAACGTGTCAATTTCTAAAGTGCAGTGACTTTGACACCAATACGTCAACGAAACCAGTCAGACATTGCCAGCTAAAGCGTAGTGTAAGGTATATTACAGTCCCTATCTGAAATAAATATCATTCACACAAACTTTAAGTCAACCATTCATTCAATCCTTATACCAAACTAGAGATTCTTTGTTAAAGTATTTTTTACAGTTAGGTCGATATTTTGGACGGAGGGTTGAGTTGCTATTGGGATGATTGATAGAAGTGTCTGATAAGTAATCGATTTCATTTGACCCAGTAGAAAATCGAAATGAAATTTGGTTAAAATAAAAGGTTGTTGAAAGGTATCAAATGTGGAATTTTGAATCTACTGTGTTTTCAAAAGAAATCATTAGCGAACTGAGCCTTAACCGATACATCATGAATGTACATATTGCAGTGACCTAGTAAAGTTTGAAAACACAATAAAACAACATGGTCATCTTATAACAAACAAATTAAGTTAAAATATTGAACTTTTCAAATGCTTCTAAATGCCGAGAGGTATATAATTTGAACTCTAATTTGAAGTAAAATTCCATGATTATGATATTATGAATTATTGTAATACGATGTGCATCAACTTGCATTGATAATGCATTGCGGTAAGCTATGGATGCAGAAACAGGTCATATCCCAACGTTGAACGTATACATCAGGACAATTTAGGGATGAAATATAATCTCACCATTATTCAAAGAACAATCCAACAGAACAATAAAGATTGAAATGTAAATATTGAAAGAGGTGAAAATACACAAATAGCCCGTTGACGCAATATCTATAAGTGTATGCATAGACATTGTGAAACTAGACGGGCGTCCCCCCAAACAAGCTTTCATGCTTAAGGGACGTCTCAAAAGGTCGTATTATCGAAATAAAAAAAAATAGATTTAAAAAACACAAAGTTTCACAAATGTACGTAACAAATAATTAAATAATAACTATAAATTTTGATTAAGTATGAAAAGAACAAATATATCTTTACACCTTTTGAGATGTCCCCTATAGTGGTGGCCAGCACAACATATATTCAAGGGATCATATTATTTGTTTATCGTTGAAAGCGGAGTTCACACAACTCTCCCTGTAGAGTTCACAATCTGATCAAGAGATCATAAACGTGACCAAACCAATGTTGAATCATTGAGGAAGGGTAATGGTCCAACCATATTGTCTTTGGTAGGTCAATCAAGGGAAAAACCCAACAATAAATAACAATATTTTCAAAATAGATATGTTGGAACAGAATTGCACATTTGTCCTTGAACACAATATTAGGGATGGTGTCAAGGTCATCTCATGACCTTTTGACCCGGATGTCAGAATCCAGTGACCTCATGACGTGGACACGACGGGACTGGATAGAAACTGAAACGAGGGCTGCACATGCGTCATGTCCACATCCGGTGACGCGCTGTTAACATCACAACCATCAAAGGAGAACGCGTGATCTGGTGACGTCATCATACTGTGTGTGTAAAGTCTGCAGGGTGAAAGCGATGGTGGGGTGGGTGTCTTGGGGGTCTTATGATTGCTTATCTCTTTTTCAAACAATGTCAACTGCATCATAAAACTCGCGTTTGGGGAAATGACGTCACGGCGAGATTTCACGTAATCAAAGGCGTCATCTAGTCCCAAAGACCGAGCGAACATCAAATATGCCAGGCAGATTGTGGCGGATCGGCTCACTCCACCCTTGCAATGGACAAGTACTCGACCTCCAGAAAGACGGATATTTTCTGAAAGAGAAAGAGAAAGATAAGTAACGGAATCGAGAAGCGACAGTCAAAACCAAAATGTCCCTCGATAGAAAACAGAAATATCTAATTCATAGGAGCACTTAGGCCGTCGACGCCATTTTGAATTTATATCGTGAATGGAAATTATTAGAACACTTGCAAGCAGATGCTTTTAAACCTAGCTAAGTCTGAACGTGAATCTGATAATGTCATCGTAGGTTTAAAATGAAATGCGAGTTGACGCATGTACCATCACAATACACTCAAACCATGCTGGAACTACTCAGGCTGTGGTTAAATGATTTCGAAACGACAAGATTTGGTTGGTTTGTTGTTTAACGCCGCACTCAGCAATATTCCAGCTATATGACGGCGGTCTGTAAATAATCGAGTCTGGACCAGACAATCCAGTGATTAATATCCTGAGCATCGATCCACGCAATTTGGATCGATGACATGTATCAACCAAGTCAGCGAGCCTGACCACCCGATCCCCGTTAGTCGCCTTTTACGACAAGCACGAGTTGCTGAAGACCTATTCTACCCCGGAATCTTCACGGGGGCGAAACGACAAGAGAACAGGCTAAGAATATGTTGTATTTCAGTTGAAGGGAAAGCATGTTTTGCTCTGTGAGATGATATGCTTGAGTCCTCCCATGGCATAAGTACGAGACATAGATATATGAATAAATCATTGCGTTCTTAGTCTAGGAAAAGGGCGGCTTTGGTTACGGGGGCTATCAAATGACAACATCCGCCTACCTATAAAGTTGATTGCGTCTGTGAACCACGTGAGGAGATCGGCCGTCACTGTATCTTGTACCGGGATCACCTTGTACCGGAAGTCCTCAGGAAAATGATTTTCACAGGAAGTGGAAACATTCAAAATGGCGGTGATTCCAACCTCTTTGAGAAGTTGTCGTTGGGATGAATGACTTGCATCTCCGATATATAGGTAAGGGAGTAGCTCAACTGGGGAACCCTAGAATAAAAAACAGGTGTGGTTAAAATACATATCAATCAATTAAATCGTTCGATTAGACAGGATGTAATTTCCTATAAACGCTTTTTGTGGCTTGGCGATCTAGCCACTTAACAATTAATACAATATCCTGTGCCTGTTTGGTGATCATTAAACCGTTTACCAGTACCGACGTATATTTTAAACCATGTGCTAATAAGTTTTTTTCAAAAATCGTGTTCAATGGCATGTGTTCACAAATATGTAAATAACACAGACATGTCATCACCATAAGAGTGCAAAATAATAAACATTAACGCTCTTAACGACATAATGACGAATAATGACACTTTTACCACCGTTTGGTTGTTATGTTTATCCTGCCTACAGTTTCCTAAAACCTACGTCAAAGGCCCTATCCTTACTCTCCCCCGTATTATCGTCAGGAGCGCCATTACGGAACCAATTCATATTTCAATATTCAATAACATCTGACTATGATCCTTTGTGCCATGCGACGATGGGTTTACTCAAATCAACGAGTTGTGTGTATAATCCGTTCAATATCAGGTACCTGCGCTGGTACAGGTTGATCAAACTAAAACGGAAAAGGTCTCACTTATATTCATCCTGTCGCTCCCATTAGCCCTAACCAAGGATTCTCACCAACAACGGTCAAAGTGTGTATGTCATGGCAATAGTCGTGCTACGTACATCTGATCTCACACTGTTTCCGCCGTCTTATGTCCGCGTTCTCTTGGTGGTAAAAAATTTAATCCGTAAGCTAAGCTTAATACTTTTTTTCGGTCTTTGCGTCAGAAGACGTGCGAATTGGCTCGATGTCTTAGAGTGACCTATTTCAAGATTTCTGCCTAAGACCGCAAGTGACTGAGCACTTATCACAATATAGATGCCATTATCGATTTGGTGTTAACAGATTTTCGCCTAAATTCAAACCATCGATCCTCGTGGGCGGTCTACGCGAATCGGTACTCAACTCATACTCTAGAACTGAGGTTGAGACGTGAGAAAATCCGAGCTACATCCTCTCATCCGATATCCCTTATTCTAGAGTCTCGTATTTTTCGATTTATGTCAAAAGCGTAATCTGATTAAGATGTGTTTGTGTGTACTTTTAAGTTGTATCTGTGTAGTCCAAGTTATATGTACTCTATATATACTACACAGGTCAGGATAAACAATTAATCAAAAACATATTAGTGTTTGTTTGTATAAGAATACAACCTATTTCATTGTCCAGAAGGGAAAAGTAAACAAAGTTGGTTGCAATGTAAATGACCATATAATGTTTTAGAAACAATTGCTCACTTATGTACATTCTTAAATATAACACGGCAACACCAGATATATGATTAGTCTTAATTATCTGTCGGAAGAGATTCCATAGGGCGTATCAGGCAAATAGTCGTGAAGATTATGTGAATAGATCACTGAAAATCAGTGATGAGAACATGTTTCGCAAAATGAAATAAAAACGTCGCTCTTAATTGTAATAAAGAAGTTGTTCATCCATAACTTTTTATCCTTACCAACCACACTCTGTAAATCACTTGCTTGATATCTGTGTTAGAACCTACACCGAAACGTCGCTCTTAATTGTAATAAAGAAGTTGTTCATCCATAAATTCTTATCCTTACGAAATGAAAATAGGTCATATACGCCAGAAGGTTATGTAGTTATTCTCTGTTTCGGACATCGAAAATTGGTTAAATGTAATTCAACAAAATGAAGAATAATACAGAGCTATGTTCGTGGCCAGGAAGCACCCATCACTGCTTTCCTGTCGTCTTCTAAAACAAAAGCCCTCGGTACTTTTACATAAGGAGCTATTGACATGCTAATGGTGAAACAATGTACCGGATACCAAGTCAGCTGATCATCTGGGTGATATGTACATGAAATACACACCCTAATGACGACTGGCCACCGATCATCTGGGTGATATGTACATGAAATACACACCCTAATGACGACTGGCCGCCGCGCCTACATAATTACGCGTTTGTGTCATAAATTATTGACAATCAATCAATTAATCAATTAAACCCGGATTTTGTCACAGACACTTACCATAGTGGATAATTCGGCCCGGGGGGAGCGGTCGAAGCGCCCGGGGGGTAACGGAAGGACTTGCTGTGGGTTCAGCAAGTTCCGGTCCTTGAACAACGAGCTATGGGAAACACATAGCCTTGGGCAGTCCCGCTTGAAACGCAAAAATCCGCCTGCAACGAAATCATTTTTGTTATTTCAATGCCTTGTTTGAATAACACACATCGATTTTAATCGATATTTTCAATATTAACACGAAAATTCTAAACCCTAGATATCTTACTTACTCACTAATAAGACTCTAACATGTTTTTACATGAAAAGCAATCGAATATGTAATTCATATCAATTTAGACATGAGTTAAATACACATGCGGGATCACGTGACTTTAAGTTAAAATTAAAGCGGTATCGCTTGTCAAGGGAAATCCTATCAAAAAGAAGTTAAAAAACACCCGATTCGTTCATATTATTATAGTTAATCTATCACTTAAATAAATAAGAAGGAATCGGGTGTTCTTTAACTTCTTTTGAGTAATATACATGTTGGTGTAGTCAGCAACACACGAATTACTGAATTAGTGCATAAGGACTTGTTAAACAGTGCACGCATCTTTATAAAATATACTTGGAATTATTATAATATAAAACTAGATTAAAGACCGTTCATTTTCCTATACTCACAGTTAAATATAATAATAGACAGCAGATTTTTAAAGTCTGTTCAGTTGTGTCATCTGAAGAAGAATTAACATGGTAGCACCCCCAGAGAAAGTCTGATTTATCGTCGTAATAGATACCAATTCTGCAACATCGAAACGCGATATCTAATATTGGAACCTAAAACACGTGTACAAATCCTCTGCCTGGTGTTATAGCCAGTATAACTCTGCCAGCAACGAATGCCGAGCACGGGGAAATCCTGCTCATATTTCCTGCGTTAAGGCCAGACGGATTTAACACTTAAATACGATATACACATGACTGTCACACATAAGACAACACTATTGGGCCAGTAGATTATATGTTTTATCCCCTAAGCCTTTCCGTGAGACGTACTTTATCCGCGGTCACATGGTAAAACACTGGTATCCGCTCCGTGATGTTTCACAAGCAAACAGAAGCCTCGCTTCTCGAATGGGTTCGCTGATACTCGTGTAACTTTCCCGTTTTGAGTTTACCGGAGCGTTTCCTTTCGTTTGTTTGTCGCTAGCCGTTTTGACAAGAATTCGTGTGTTTGGTTTAATGCTTGAAGAGGTATTTTCCCGGTCACGATTGAACGTGTCAGCATATTAACTGCAGAGTATATACATTTTTGTTGTTTTGTTGTTCAATGCGATTAAGAAATCGTTGATTCCACTCAACCAACAAACGGAGGTCGCGTGCTGCTTAACGATCAATTGTCCGTTTGTGTATCAGAATGTATTTGTTTATTGGGGTTGTATATTTAGTCGTAAATGTAGTTGCATTTGCATTTTTTGTGCACATATTCGACATTTGTCTTTTTCTAGCTACCTGTATTTTGTTTGGGATACTGTTGTCGATGTTATACAGGTGTCGGAAACACGTTTGTAAACTTAATGCATCATAACGGTAAGTCTTCGAAAAACGAACTATCGAAAGCTGACATTGGACATGGCACCGGTTTTTTGTGTCTGCTGTCGATGGTGTCTTCATCGTTTAATGATTTAATGAACAAACTCGACCCTGACAACTGCATAATAGGAAAAGTCACGTTCAGAAACATTTTACACACATAAAGTTACAAATTCAACCCAATTCTACAAATTTCCTTCTGAGCCCTGAACGAATTGGAATCTATCTGATATTTTACTGCATCACGAGCTCAGTGTCAAAGACCTTTCAAACGACCTTGGATTCGTTCGTGATCCAGCTGGTGACAAAATAAGTCTTGCTACTAATTTCTTTGTGCAAAACGTCTCGACTGTTGATAAACAAAACTAATAAGTAAAAGTACAAAACCAAACTGTTCAATAAGAAATAAAAAGCTTATTGATCAGATTTCACCTTAAACCGATCAAAGTTAAATTTTTGAATATTATTCAATATTCCGTGACTACTTCGTATATTTTGTTATCTAACGCCGTGTCATTGATCTAGATGTCAGATTTATTTACTTTAGACCTAGTAAGGGAAAACCACCATCATTCGACATAAATTATGACAATAGTTGGATGACATACTGTGCTATTTTTACCACAGTTGTATTTACAGTACCGGAGACAGTGAATTCACTCGTGATATTAATGTAGTAGAGAAAGCCTTGATATTTATGACCTTCTAATGGAATAACGTCTTTCATTCTGTTCAAAATCTTTTGCATTGCCAATCTCTACAACTTTCCGTTCGGTTTTTGAGGAAGGAATTCTTTGAATGAGTGTTATCATTTTAAGCGATTATTTTCACACATACATAAATTAACGTTTACTGAAAGAATAGATGTATTTATGTGAACGGCATTCGTATACATAAGTGCTCTGTAGGTACTTAATAATATCAGCACATACATTGTACACATTGACTGATAAAAATATTTGCAACTCAAAAAAACATGTTTTGGCTGTGATTTACAAGATGGTGCCATTTAAATTCTAAAGTGAATGCTACACACACATTAAACTTACCAGAGAGAATGAAAAAGTTCTTTTTGCCGACAAGCCGAACAAGGCTCTTCACTGTTAGAAGTAATTCCGCTTTAGCACTGTCATTTGAAAACTCATCTGTATCCAAATCATGCAGTATAACTGCTTCTAGGTTTGGCCGTAGAAGACACTTTTGTGTCTCTTGAGACACGACTGATTCCAGTGGAAGACACGAAGGGTACCGCTTCCTTAAGAGCGGAGGGCAATATACATTTATAGACGTCAAGATTCTGTCGGAGTTGTAGTGCATGAACGATCGACAATCCACAATCTGCAGCGCGTTGTGTTTTTCTTCCAACATTTGCTGGAGTCGACACGGAGAGATAAAGAGAGGAGTCGCCATAGCTAGTATTCTTCCAGCTTCGATGAATGGTCTGTGGTGGTTTCACGAGCCAACACAGCTATATTGATTCTCGTCCCAGCTCGATCAATATGAGTGCACACTCTCTTCCATTCACAAGCTTCAGCGCAACCTCACCCGGTCACTTCCGGTACTTGCTGAGCGAGGCAGCCAATCAGCGTCGAGCAGGCAACCAGTGAATGGGGAGTAATTTCCCAGCGTGAAGCGAGCCGCTCGCCGGAGGTAATACAATACTAGATTACGCTTACATTATTCTCGCATTCAATGAAACGCGGAAGGGAATTTATCAAGCGGGACTTTGTCGCGAGACTGGCAGATGTGAAGCTAGGAGGTCGCGCGCTACACCTGAAATCACAACCAGCTCCGACTTCATACGGGAACTGGTGTCCATTTCAACTAGCGAGCGGTTTTGTCCACCGGAAACGACTGATGTCAATGTCATGTTGTCAATGGCAGGAAACACGGGTCGCGATTAAATTAGGAAACAGCATCCGCTGGTCGCTCTGTTGACCGACATGCCGAAATGCTAGTTCAACACACGTTGCATAAGTCATTGTCCCCGTGAAATGAGCGTCCGGTTTACAGACAAATTGACACTCAAACAATGAAATAGACATGAGAATATAACACTGGTTCACAAACGACTGACATGTATAAGCAAATTTTACATATTCGTAGATATGTAATTAAACGTAATGAAATGTATCAGGTTTCGATATGCAATACGAAACATGATATACGTTTGTGTAATTAACAACTATGGTAGGGGACATTTTAAATTACACCATTGAATAGACGGTACACGTTACAGCAAAATGTTCGCGTGTGTAAACAAGTTAATTGTCAATTTGAAATGTACACGAGTCAGTCAGGTCCCTTTCGCTGTGGGTAATGCATGTTGTGCAACATAAACATGTATATATCAGTTGTGGAACATTTTGCTCTTATGGTGACATTCTGTGCTCTAACTTAGGTAGGTGCACATTCGCGTACATTTCAAGCGGAACCCTACCACTCTCACTACTTTAACAAGGAAACGCACACTAGTTCATACACAATGTTACAAGCCAAAATTAATATATGAACATTGTCACACTATCAAAATCGTGTTAACTGTGAATAAAATATTAAAAATCAATATTGTTCCAATCGAAATGTATTAATTTCTGACGAATAGTCAAACAAGATATGCGGCTGTGGTTAATATTTCACTTAACACACATTTGGTGAACTGCGTATACATTATTTAATATCAATATTGTTCCAAGCTGTGTGGTTTCATCTCCGGTAATCGACTACATATAACGACTACATCTACGTGGGTATAGAATTATACAGTCCGCTGTTCTTGATAAATAATGCAGGCGGACATTTCTATCAATTATGGAATATTTTCTAATATTCTTGGATACATGACCGGATGTAATGCACATGTAACATCTGTCGACAGCATCGGATACAGTTCTGTTATTTTACAGCTTCGTCGTACCCGCTACATTCCACAACATTAATCAATGGAAATAATGCAAAATGATAAAATAATGATACGAATTTATATGCTAATCAGCTTTTCTTTTGTTCCAAATACTGTAAAAAAATTTTATATATTACGTAGTTTTTTTGGTAAATTTAATTACCATGCTATTATTTGTGCGCACGCTTACTTATACGGTTATTAATTACACACACACACACACACAGTGATATGTGACAGGGAGTGTGCTCCTGTATCCTGTACCGAGCCCACTAAAGAGGATCAGGTGGTTACAAAGTGTGACCTGGTGGCTTGTGTGTAATCGGTACCGAACGACGTGATCATGTTCTTAATTGCTGATCCCTCGACAATGCTTGTCTTAAGAGGCGACTAACGGGATCGGGTGGTCAGGCTCGCTGATTTGGTTTGAGGCATGGCTTCGTCTCCCATTTGCGTGAATTAATGCTCATGATACAATCACTGGATTATCTGGTCCAAACTCGATTATTTACAGACCGCCGTCATATAGATGGAATATTGCTGAGTGCGGCGTAAAACAACAATGCAACAAAAGCTGATCTGTCTGCCCGACACGACTGCCGCCCTGTAAATACCCGGTTGTCTCATTACTTGTGTCGGAGTCCTTCACGAGAAGTACTGCTGATTTCTGTGCCGTTTGTGTGGGTAGCTGGTAGTCCATTTATAACTGACTGATCGCACGAGTGAAGTGTTTATTTAACCGTCACGCTTGGATTTCATACATATTCACAGCACAGCCAGGCGTGCAGGGCCCACACAGGCCGAAGAGATATCAGACTCGTGCTGGACACTCATCCATGAAGTACGGCGTACTGTTGAGTGGCGCCCGCATCTATAGCGGAAACTCGCATTACTTGTGCTGTAGTCATTCATGTTTACTGTTCAGTATTGCTTGAGTCTGTAGCTGAAACTCGCATTACTTGTGCTATAGTCATTCATGTTTACTGTTCAGTGTCGCTTGTGTCAAAAGCTAAAACTCGCATTACTTGTGCTAGTCAGTCATGTTTACTGTTCAGCGTCGCTTGTGTCAAAAGCTAAAACTCGCATTACTTGTGCTAGAGTTATTCGAGTAAAGTAATTCATTTCAATGTCGCCATCGGATACAACTCATGAACTGGTAGTTGCATGGCGTGTAATACCAGAAGAAAAGCGTAGATTTCAGTGGCGACTGTTTGTTCAGTGCCAAGTCACCCGTCAGTGACACAGCTGATTGCGGGAACACCCATGTACATTGCCCGTCAGTCACTGGCCTAAGTGTAACTAATATGTTCTCTAAACCGATTTAGAGATTTCGTTTGCTATTTTCCTGTACTAATTAGCTATAATCGCCCGTGTCACCATACGCAGGCCTATCGATGTGGTGGAGACAGATGAAGCTTATGTATCTACTGAAGGTGTGGCTGGCTGGCGAGGCTGTATCTAACTCAACACTGCAGGATACGTACACGGCGGTTGGACGCGACAGGGCTGTGATTGCCGTAGTAGCTGAGTAGGCAGATGAGTGTAGTAGTAGTAGTAGTAGTAGTAGTAGTAGATTAACGTTTAGTCTTTGAAAACATATAATGTTGATAGAAACAAATACCTCCATTTAAATTGAAAAAGAGCCCTTGTGATATTGCCTGAACCTGATGAAAAGCTAGACTTGCTTTATTTAGTGTTGTTGCTTGACAGAAAGAGCTGGGAGGAAGAGAAAATAGTATGGTCCAGGGACTGTGAGACAGATTATAGTAGTAGTAGTAGTAGTAGTAGTAGTAGTAGTAGTAGTAGAAAAAGAAGGTACAGTAAACTACGGTTATAACGAACACGCTTATAACGAACTGACGGATATAACGAACTTACTTTTTGGTCCCGACTACTTGCTGTAGTCATGCTGTATATGTACTTATAACGAACTACGGTTATAACGAACTAAAATTAGTAGTCCCTTTGAGTTCGTTATAACCGTAGTTTACTGTAGTTTCCAATTCCTGCTCAGTTTCACACGAGATGTACTCATGATAAATACTAATATATTATATGAGTTCATATATATTCATGATATATTCATTATTCTGAGATTGTTATGTTAATGATCACCCACATGATATTTCATACGATAAGCACCAACCCCCCACGGAGGCGAGGGTGAGGCAGAGCAGGTGGCGGCTTTTGGCCAACGAGAGATCGTCAGTGGATCACACATATTATACATGATATAATGAACTACATGAACTCGCGTGCTGACGAGGCAAAATGCGATATCTGCTGAGGTGAGACTGCATCATCGACTGATACATAGTCTATGATGTCTTATCAATGCTGTGGAAAACATTTAGAATATCTATTTTAACCTTTTATATTCACGGTATGGGTTCGTTATCACCGTGTTTACTTGTTTTTATTAATTGATATCACCACCTGCATCCTGTTTTTGTTTTGTTGAAAAGACACTTATATCATATCGAAAGGTTGAATGTCACCTGGTGTGACAAACTATTTAAATACATCTGTGACGCAATAACAACAGAACCTGCACTTTGGCTTTCACAACTGATCATACCATCTCCTAGATATTTTCCCATCCTAAATCGCAAACGTTTAAAGACTAATATTTTATTGCTAACGAAGAAGTGAATAGTTTATCTGCACAAATAAAAGGAACGCCAGCCCCGATAACGTTATATATTTGTCATTCATACCGGCTTTACGCTTGGCTTCACAATTTCACGCACATCAAAGTCAATAGGTTTGCGTCAATTAAGCCGGTGTCCGTCCTGTTGTTGAGAATTGTATGACGTGTAATTATACTTTTTATGTTGGGTTCAAAGAAACGTATACCAGCGCTGTATTTTAATGGTGGATGCTTCCAATTGTTAAGTATCTACATTGATTGCCGGTTAGAGCGGAAGCTAAATGAAAGGCTTGACCCATTCATAGCGATCGCCACAGTGCATTTCCGCACCGGAAACGTCATGACCTTATATGGGCACCGTAAACACTGGACACTTGTGAATGAAACCGTAGTCAAAACATGCACAGCTGAGCCGGGCTAGAACGTGGAGCACGTGTTCTCTCTAGGGAACAAGATTCAACCATACAACAGTTACTTCCCTTTTAAGAACACCTGAGTTAAAGATTACCCTGTATTAAGCCGAATAGATTATTGGGGAAAACGAAAGATGTGGATCGTGAAATAAGGATTTTATTTGTACATGTTATAAAGATGGGGCTTTTATCGATGCTATGGGTCGTGGAAATGAGTGCTGAAATGGGCATGTTTTTATCTTTCCGGGCTGTTGGTGATGGTGATTGATTTATGCTAAGTTGAACTGTCATTCGCATCTGCCCGCATCAAACTGCCTTGTCGCTTCAATTTGCGCTTCAGGCATTTAACGACAACTGTTGATAGAGGGTGATTAACTTTATGCTTCGAGTGAAAAACAATCTAGTAACCTAAACCCGCTTCTTTCAGGAAGTTGCAAAATATATATATTTGTGCAGATACTAAAAAATACGAATATGATATTACTTTGATTAATCTTTTGCTAAATATGACAAATTGTACAAGTCGGCCTAAAAATATCGCAAAATAGAATGATCAAATTAAACCTAATCACGATAGCATTTTGTATATAAGGTCCTTTTTCGGAATATGTTTAAAGTGCATGTAAATTTAATTCCTTCTATACTTGTCCAGTATTAAGTAGTTTATGAGATAGTAAGGCAG